TAAACAATATTTAAAAGCAATTACAACATTTGAAAATGGAACTCTTTGGCTGCAGAATACAGTTTGTGTCATCTGACAGTCACTTGTTTTTACATTGTGGCGTCATTTTAGAAATTTGTTGTCTACGTCGCCATGGATTTAACTAGTGAAAATTTCCGTAGCATGATTTTCTACGACTTCAAGTGTAATTTAACAGCTTTAATATATAATAATAGTAATCACATTTATAGCTGGTTTGCAGAATTCAAACGCGGTCGTGTGAATCTCAGTGACGAATTTCGTGATGGTCGCCCATCCACTGATGTGAACAATAAAAACATCGATGCTGTGCGCCGTATGATCAAAACAGACAAGCATGTGACTTACCATGAGATTCGGGCATCCTTAAGCATAGGCATGAGTCAAATACAATCAATACTACACAAACATTTGGGTGTGAAAAAGCTGTGCTATCGGTGGATCCTACAAAATTTGACTGAGGCTCAAAAAACGGATCGCGTCACTTGGTGCAATGCGATGCTTACCAGATTCAACGAAGGGGCGTCAAATTTGGTGTAGGACATAGTAACAGATGCAGAAACATGGATTTATAGTTACGATCCCAAAACAAAGCAGCAATCGAGCGTATGGGTCTTTCGAGATGAACCGAAACCGACCAAAGTGGCGCGCGTGCATAGTGCCTTTAAGCGAATGATTGCTTCTTTTTTAAATAAAACTGGACACGTGGCTATTGTTGCTTTGGAAAATCGTTGTGCCGTGAATAGTGGTTTTATCAAATAAAATTGGCACCGTCATAAGAGGATATCATATACACACACACGTCATGTAGACCTGTGTCGCGTTGAAATATCTCGCCTTAATTTATATATTTATGCCTTAGTTGGCATCCAAATTTGTGCGCACATACATTGCGTCGAAGTTTGTGTATTCGGTGCTTTTGTAATGCACGCTCACCACCAAATCTTAGAAAAAATTTGGCTATAGTTAATTAATTAAACAGCTTTGTCCTCAGATTCTTGGCGAATCGCAAGAAAGGCCGTTCACTATCGGCCAATGCAGTGGCGAATGAGCAGAAGGCAACAAAAGTATTGGGCTTGGTGTTCTTCACATTCGTTCTTTGCTGGGCGCCGTTCTTCTTGCTCAACATTTTATTCGCTTCGTGCCCTGCTTGTATAGTACCAGGTGAGATTTTTATTACATACTGTAAGTCCGCAACAACTACGACACACGCCACTGTATGATTTTTATAATATTAGGCTCCACTGTAAAACTCCAATAAGTTTGAAATACTGTTATTGTTCTAACATTGAGATTACACAATTTTTACATAACAATAGGTTTGTTTTTATGTATTAAAAAAATTTGCACGGCGCGTGTGATGCGAACAAGGGTTTCCGCCATCTTGCGGTTGGAAGCGCGGGAGCCGACCACAGCAAAATGTTTACAGAAGGTTCACAACACTCGGAAAACTTGTGAAGTACCTAACCTGCATAGGGCTATCGTGGTGGATTATGGCATTAAACCCTGTCCCGAGAGGTGGCCCGTGCCCAGCAGTCGGACGTAAAAATTGCTCGACGATGATGATGATTTCATTACTATTACTATATTATTACACATGGTAACTATAAACATTAGCCAACACATATAAAATGTGGTTAAACAAATTAAATTTGCTTTATAAATTAAACGTTTCTAGGAAAATACATGAATTTATTATTGTTGCTGAAATTACAAAGTAAATTTAAAATAAAAATGTTAAACACGGTTAAACATTATTATTTTTTTACTTGTGAGACCGAATTCGAATAAATCTCGAAGCGGCCGGTGGCGATTCGTGTTCGGATGTTTCGGATACCTTCGCGCGACACTACGATAGCGGTTTTGTTTCTCGAATTATATTTTATTATTATAGCGATAATTTTATCAATGATAATTATCACTTTGGAGCCAGTGACGGAGAGGAGTAATAGGTTAGCGTGGTATGGACATGTCATGCGGAGGGAAGAATGTCATGTGATGAGAAGAGTGTTAGGTATGAATGTGGAGGGATGTAAGGGGAGAGGAAGGCCAAAGAAAAGATGGATGGATTGTGTGAAAAATGACATAGAAAGGTGTGAATATGGAAACGTTTGTCGACGCCACCTAGAGTGGGATAAGAACAGGAAGAAGAAGAACATAATTAACATTTCTATTTTATTTCCAGAGCATGTGGTGGACATCTGCCTGTGGCTGGGTTACGTGTCGTCTACCATCAACCCGATTATCTACACAGTATTCAACAGGACATTCAGGGCAGCCTTCTTGAGACTGCTCAGATGTCATTGCTCAAGGTATTGCTTTTTAATTTTCATGATATCGCGTATATACGTGAATACTTTTGTGGGCTGCAATAGTTTGACTTCTAGCCCCCAAATCTACTAATTTTAAATCATCTCAGTTGTATGTCGATGGAGTACCAATGGCAGGATTTTGTACGTATGATATTCTGCTAACAGTTAAGATTAATGGCTTGTCAGTGGTCAGCCATCGAGCTACAATTCAACTTCCATTACATTTTTCAGGTATTCTCTCCTTCAATGGCAAGTCGAAGGCATATCGATGGCGTAGTCTACTATTTGACATAAAAAAATACATTTAATTTTAAACACTAAATCGCTGATTAAACAAAATAAAATTGAGATACGAATTGAGATTTATCAATAATTCGTGATAGAATGAATGAATGCCATCACTGCCAGAGAGAGATAAGTTTAAAGAGATTAACATTCTTACACTGACGTCACAGTACATTTATGAAAAGTCGTCTTCATAAAGTCTCAAATTCATTAGAAGTAATGTATACGTTTCTAAAAGGTTTTTCAACAAAAACTTTGTTTTTTACAAAACAATAAATAAACAAAATAAAACAATAAATGTAGATGTCACTGATTCAAATTTATTTGTGTTAAAAAAAAATAAGTTTTGGCAATTATTAATGAAAAATGATATCTGATAAATGTCTACCACAACCACAGTTACAGATGTCGATTCTTTAATCAAAGTTTTTAATTACTTTTTGACAAAATAGTGGGTCTATTTTGTTAATCACTTCACGAATTTTGAGTTTTAAGGTTGCAATCGATTCGATTGGCTCCGTATAGACTCTGTCTTTAACATAACCCTTAAAAAATAATCCAGCGGTGTTAAATCACATGATCCAGCTGGCCACTTAACGGCTGAATTTCGTGAAATTATGCGATCGGAAAGTTTGGTTTGCCATAAATTCATTCTTTCGGTGACTGTGTGACTTGTGCCGTTGGCATTGGGCCGTTTTTTTTCGAAAATTCGACTGGAAACGCAATTATGGTCAATGGATTACGCTATCGAAAATTTGAATCGTTGTCATCTAAATTTATTGTTTGAAACAAAAACTTTATAGTAAATGTTATTATACAACTTCTGCTTAGTTGGATGACAAAAATTCGTGGTAGTGACCCGTTTAGCTCTTTCAGGTATTCTCAATCTAAAATGTTTAAATTAAATATTGTAATGATAAATGTATTCAAATGTATAATTAAAAAGAGTAACCCCTGGAGTTTCTTGCTCATTCTTCTCAGGGGAATCTGCCTTACGAATGAGCAGTAGAGTTTAATCAGTCTGACGATTTCAAATTGTGTAATTTGCTTACCTATGAAATAAAGATTATTTCACTTTGTCTTTGCCATTCCACTGACACTTTATTGAAACTCAAATGCCATTGCAACTAGATTTTAGCAGAATAACAATTTATCATAATTGCAATTTAATCTCAGACTAGTTTCAATGGCATTACAATGACCAGTGCCTTTAAGAAAATTAGAAGACTTGTGGCCTGGTCCTTTTGCGTCTATTTGCGTAACATCGTCTACTTTCCTAATTCTACCACTTTCTTATACGAGCACTGTTTTGATTAATATTGTTTTTACAACTAAAAAGAAATATGCAAATTTTCTAAAGACATAGAGCAATTTGATTTCACTCTTCGAAACATTGTATATTTCTTAGGTGCCTAAAGAACAATATTCAGGTTATATAAAGAACACAAAGAAATAAAACACTCCCTAATTCTTCAAAGTCTTTTGTAGTCAAGTCACTGGTCATTAATGTTGGCGGTGGTTACGTGACGTGGTAGGCAATGTTCTAAGGTGTTAAGGGTAGCGCGCTAGTCACCGCATAGTCTCCGTCGGGCACGTAATGCTAAGCTATACATGGCAAATAAATGCCCTGACCCAATTGGGAGAGTGTCAATAAATATTTAACTTTATGTAGGGGTATGAATGTGAAACTGATATTCCACTTCATTGATTCGGCCAAGGACTTCTTTATATCGAAATAAAGTTACGGAAATGGGAGGAGTAAAAAATTGAGCTCAGATGTTATGATCTCATAATTATGTTCATTCATGGAGACATTTCCCTAGAATTCTTTATATTTTTTTCGAACTTAATTTTAAATAACATGAAAAACATGATAAACAATTACTTTGCTTTGACGGAGTCGCCTCTGTAGAAACAACTGCTCCATTGGCCATCAGCCGCAGCATCAGCAGTGGTCACTTCAGTTCTGTGACGTATGACTTTGTGTGCGAGAAACCCCAAGTATAAGCTCGCTCCATCGCACGCTAAGCGATAAAAGCTCTGATAATGGTAATGCACCAAAAATGTTGATAACGTTCCAAAAAATCTTTTAATACGGTCCAAGGTTTGCCAGCTCTAAAATTTTAAATGGTGTTAATTTCATTCTTCGTAGAAAAATATTCGCTCAGATTGGAAATGAAACTAGTTTTCTCACTTTTCATCTAAGCGTTTATTTTTCTTTTTTCAAACTAACCGACATATCGGATTTACTGGTCCCATGGTCACTGCTGAAAGTCAGTCCGTCAGATTCGAAAAAATAGTTTCACTGTGTAATAATCGCGAAATCCCAAGAATTCGATATCTTCACACAGGGTACAAATTAGTGTTTTTTCTCAACGGAAATGAGAATGGGACATTTTTTTGCATGAATTTTTTTTTATTATTAAATTTGACCAACTTCTGCTGTCCCAATTTTTTTCTTCCGATAAAATAAAGTCATCTTTATAAGAAACTGAGTCTATTATCATTAAAAAAAGTTAGTCAATTTTATTCATGTCACATACAATGAAATGATTCTTTTAAGAAATTGAGTCGAATCAGCACTAAATATTTTTTTATGAATTTTGGACAAAAAAATTAATTATGTCGATAAAATACTTATTACCTTTAGAGATAGTTTCAATTTTGAACGCGAACGAAGTTGCAGACAAAAGCTTTTATAAAGCTTTACTTCCCAAATTAATAGGTATTATAAAACACGATGAAACCCACGGGCAGTGAATTAAATCTGTCTTGTCAAGACGAATAGGGTAATATAATAGCTGAAGTAAACAAAAGCAACGTAAACCTGGTAAGGGTTTGGTTATTTAATGGGAGTTAATTAACGTTATAAAAGTAACGACAGCTATTTATACTGTTATATTTGTTGCGAAACAAAGATCTGAATAGAAAATAAATACCATAATCATCATGCTTGACAGAGCAATTAAGTTAGCACGTGCATTTAAAGACCTTAATTAACCTATTTGTGCTTAGAATCTAACTTCTCAAATATTTCACAAAAGGGTGAGCTCTTTTAGCATCGGACATCCAGACGTACGACGGGATGCCATACTTACTTGGTAGGTATTGCCTTCAGACATACTAAACGCGTTTCGTCATCTTTTATTATGCGTACAACACAGGAATGGAATTTCCTGCTTGGGACTGTGTTTGTCTTTGCGATTTAAAACTCTGAGTGACACTGCAACTGACGTGATCGTGAGACGTGTCGCCTACCACAAGCCCCATGATTTGTTCGTAACTTGGTATCATAAAAAAATAGAACCATCCCAATTAATTGAAACTTTAACAGTCGATACAACCTCAAATGAAAGCCGTGGTTGATTCCACATAACAGCGAAAGTATTGAATCAATCATTTTGGAAGAAATATATAACAAAATTAAGGATATACAGGGATTAGTAAACGGTGTGAAAACACGATTCCTAAAAATGTTTACGATAAAGAAAAACACAAACTTATCTCGAAATTCTACAAAATATGTACTTTAAGTACTTTGCGGAAGTCCATGTTAATAAAATGTTTGCGGAGTCGCAAATTAATTTACTTCCATTTTACATGTACCTATGATTTTTTTATATCAACCGATCTAAATGGAACACGTGTAGAGTACGATATAGGTACATTTTTCAAAGGGCTTAAATTTGGTTTATAAAAAAATTAATTCTGAAATAAAACTAGTCTCCTTGCCCCGGCCCGTGCAATAGAATCAATTTAGCAAAACACTTTCTTTTAAAAAACGCTTTCTGATCAGTCCATCCGTTATGTATATCCCTATATGCCTAAATGAAATACTTGCTCTTATAATTATTACTTTTATAATATTTTAATATGTAATTTATAAATGTAATTGCAATGCCCCAACAGGGCTTATGTACATATTGGCATTGTGTTGTTTTTAAGATCTTTCTCACCAAAATTGTACATACTGCAGAAATAAATAAATAAATAAAACACACAGCTATGCATGTGGTAGGCGACAAAGGTTTCAAACTTATAACCTCTCCTCTTTTTGCGTCGGGGGATAAAAAGAGACAAGACAGAAATATACATATATCAAAAACTAGTACATACGAAGAGACTGTTATTAAGTTCATCACTTTCCGCTCTCACTGCGACCATTCCAAGTTCTACGAAAATTTTAATTAAAAATGTCATTATAATTCACTGCATTTCATTTTGTTATATGCCCTCGTAATGTAAGGCATATTTTGTTGGTTTATTATTTTTTTTATTAGCTCTTTTATAAGCTTGTTGGTCAAAGTAGCTTCTTTATTTGCAGGTGAAATGAAAATATTAGGTTTTTATGATTATTATGCAAAGAAGACCTTGCTTGAGTCACATGAAACTTTCGTTGGATACCTATAAACATACATACCATTACGCCTGTCTTTCACTAGGGTAAGTAGATATTTTTTTTTGCCATCTCCCCTGCTGTCTGTAATGATTTAAAATTTTTGGCTCGTGCATAATGACAAATAAATTACAGCGGTACGGAATCATTGATGTATATATAGTCATATACATGAAATACCTGACCCCTCTAACATGCCCAAACCGACCTTTTGGTTCTGAGAGCCATCTTACGAAAAAAATTAAAGCAATTTAAACTTTATTGTGTAAGCAAACAGTGGAGTGTTGCTTGAAGATGATGAACATGACTTTAAAACCAA